GGCGGGCGGAGGGCAGTGTGGTCTGTGGGCCAGAGTCTCAAGCTCCTGATTTTCCCAAGGCCCATGGGTGTGGGCTGGGGTGTGGGTGCCCTGGAGGTGGCTGGAGGACTGTGGCAGGGATGGGGGTTTGTCTCTAGTCCAGGTCTGCTGATAGCATTAAGTGAATCTCAGCCCCTCTCAGGCCTTCACTGCCTTCATTTGTGCTACAGGGAGACCAGATGAGCTGTTGAGATGGCCTACCTGGGACACACTTGCCTTGGGTTTGCACCACACACACATATTTGTTTCACTCCTGGGCCCCTCGGTGCCCATTGTTCTGAGCAGCAGCTGGCAGAGATGGGCAAGGCAAGGTGGCTTCTGCTGACTGCGACTGTTTTGGCACCTGCACCATCCCACCCCTGGTGTTTACAATAATAGCAGTCCCAGTTTACTTTGTGCCCATTCTGTGCCAGGCATGGGCTGTGCTGTAGGCAAGCTCGATTTTGTTGCATTTTCTTAGCTGTCTTGTGAGGCGGGCATCTTACAGACCAGGACGCTGAGGCTAAGCAGGAAGACTGACTCTGGAGGTTCCAATGAGAAGGTGGCAGCACTGCATCCTCTGACTTTGAACCAGTGCTTCCAAGGCCTGGCCCACAGGCTGCTTCTTGCCTGGTAAGGTCTGTTCAAGGAATGGCTGAAGTGAGAGCACCATTATTGGAGTGGCTCATGCTGTGTGCTGGTTCCCTTTCCAGAACAGCCTCTGCCAGGCCCCCCCAGGCGTGGTCCTATCTGCCAGTTTAGAGGCAGACAGTGTCGTGGTCAAGAGCGTGGACAAAGCAAACCCAGCTTCATCCTAGCTATTCTGGTCAACAGCTATGAGCCTTGGGCAAGTAATGGGACCTCTCTGTGCCTCAGTTTCCTCATTTGTAAACTGGGATTGTTGTGGGGATGTTTTTTCTTTCCTTCTAGGTTTCTTTTGTCTTCTTAGCTTGTTCTTAGTATAAAACACTATAGGTTAAGTGCCTGGATCATAAGCTCATCCCCAAACTAGTTTCAGATCAAGAAATAGAACAAGACAGGCTCCAGAAGCCCCCTGCCACTCCCAAGCAGTAACTCTCCTAATTTCCAACAGCATAAGTGAGTTTTTCGAGTTTTGTTTTATTTTTTTAAAAATTGAGGTGAAATTTACATAACACAAAATTAACTACAGGCAGTCCTCAGGTTACATCGGACTCGACTACTACGTAGTTTTGTGGTTACGTTGCCATCTCCCATTTACAGTATTTATTTTAAAAAAAATTCCGTCATTTCGACGTATGTATATATGTGCTTTGTGTTTTTTATTATTTATTTATCACAAGTAAAGGTCAGGAATTGTTATTTTTCTTTAAAATTTTTTTTTACTTCTTTCACTTCATTACTGCTGTGGATGTGCTCCATGTGAGTGATGTAGGTGCTTATGTAGGTGGGTTCCGACTTACGGCGAAAATCGCATTACGTTGCACCGTAGGAACGGATCTCCGGCGTAACCCGAGGACCTACTGTATTTTCAAGTGTACAGTTCAGTGGCTGTTATGTACATTCACAGTGTTGTGTAACCACTACCTCTGTCTAGTTCCAAAACATTTTCCTCACCCTAAAAGAAGGCCCTGTACTCATTAAGCACTCAGTTCCCTTTCCCCCTCCTACCCCTGCAGCCACCAGTTTGTTTTCTGTCTTTATGGATTGACTCATTCTGGATATTTCATATAAATGAATCATACTATTTGTGGTCTTTTGTGTCTGGCGTTTTTCACTTAGCATAATGTTTTTGAGGTTCATCCATGCTGTAGCATGGATCAGCACTTCATTCCTTTTTATGTCCAAATAATATTCCATTGTGCGAATATACCACATTTTGTTTATCCATATGTCTGTTGATGGACATTTGAGTTATTTCTTCCTTTTGGCTATTGTGAATAGTACTGCAGTGAATATTTGTGTACAAGTATTTGAGTATTTCTATATTTATAATCTATATTTGTGTAAATTACACAAATTAGATCAAATATCATATTTATATGCTAAAAGTCTATAATTAGATAACATGTAGATGTAAATAATCTGGGTTATATATCCTATATTTGTAATCTTCAGTGTATTCTATATTTAACTTTTAGAAGAAGTGCCGAACTTTTCCATATGGCTGCACCATTTTACATTTCCACCAGGTTTGAGTTTCTCCACATCCTCACCAACATTGTTCTTTTCTTTTTTTTAATTGCAGCCATCTTAGTGGGTGTGAAGTGTTATCTCATGGTTTTGATTTGCATTTCCCTAATGATTAATGATGTTGAGCATCTTTTCATATGCTTGTTGCCCATTTTTATCTCTTTGGAGAACTGTCTAGTCAGGTTCTTTGCCCATTGTATAATCAGGCTATTTGTCTTTTTGTTGTTGAGTTGTAAGAATTCTTTATGTATTCTAGATAATAAACTCTTATCAGATATATGATTTGCAAATATTTTTGCCCATTTTTTGTTTGTCTTTTTAGTTTCTTGATAATGTTCTTTGCATAAAAGTTTTTAATTTCAGTGAATCTACTTTATTTTTTCTTATGTTGCTTGTATTTTGGGTGTCATATCTAAAAATCCATTGTCAAATCCAAGGTCAAGAAAATTTTTTTATAGCCCTGCAAGTGTGGCTCAGTTGGTTAGAATGTCATCCCATGAAGCGAAGGGTCACAAGTTCGATACCCAAGTTGCGGGTGGGTTCCATCCCTGGTATGGGAGGCAACTAGACAACTGATGGATGCTTTTTCACATCGATGTTTCTCCTTCCCTCGCCCCCTCCCACTCTCCCTTCCTCTCTATAGAATCAGTGAAGAACATATCCTCAGATGAGAATTAAAAAAAAAAAAAAATTATTTATTTTTTTTTTTTTTAAGAGAGAGCCCAAGGGAGAGAGAGAGATTGAGGGAGAGAGAAACATTGATTTGTTGTTCCACTTACTGATGCGTTCATTGGTTGAT